AATTATATAATATATAAAACATACTTAATGATACAATATAACAATATACATGTAGATTCATTTGTAACATATTGAAAAAAAATAAATGCATAGTAAATTAGAGATCATAAATATAAATAAAACAAACATCAAGACATAAAACAAGAAAATTATATAATAGGAGCACCAGAATTGTAATAAAACTATAAATATACAGGACTAAAAATGAAATAAATAAAAATAGTGGACAAGTTTAAGGAAATAACAAAGCGATTAATGACTAAATTATAACAAAATGAATCATAATGTCAAATTCAGAAAAAATAGCAAAATGAGGTACTGGGTGACCAAAACGCTAAAATAAGGGGAAAATACAGAGAGTTAAAGGTGATTTCACCCTAACAGTGACCAAAGCATAAAATACACTGAAACTGGGAGGACCTAGACTACTATTTAACCTTAAACTAATGACTAAAACTAAAAAATGCTAAAATTACGGGGAACATTAAGTGATTAACCCCTAAGATAGGTGAACAAAGCAGGAATCTTCAATAAAACGAAGACCTTACACGTAATATACCCAAAAAAATGAAACCCCCCTTTATATCATCTCCAAAAACACTGAAAGCAAAGAAAAACCATCCCCTTTTCATTTTTTTCCTTCTTCCTCGCCTCTCAAACCGGCCAATGCTACTACCCCCGACGAACTCCCCCGATAACAAGGTAAACGCTCCCGATCTTATAGTTTTTTATTTATTTAGAAGCTAATACTCGCGGAAAAAAAACAAAACCAGATTCAAGGTCTACTCTAACTTTATTACATTTGTAAACTTAACAAAAAAATAATAATAAAAACGAGAATACCTTTAGAATTTAGGTTATCTCTTTTGATTGCTGAATTGTTTTTTCTGTATTTTGATTGCTCAGTCTAAAAGTTACATTGTTTGTTGATCTTTTTCGGGTTTTATACCCTTTTACAAAAAAAAGTAAAACACCTTTTTTTTGTTTTCCTTTGCTTGACCTGTTCGGTGATGATATCAGTTGGAGGAGTGGGCAACCTTGTTAGTGGTAGAGAGGTATGGTATGACTTGGGGACTGACAAGGAATTGTGACTAGAGTAGGGCATGAGTAAGAGCACAACAACAAGGATGGCTTGGAGTGATGTAGCAAGTAAGAGATGGTATAGACAAAGGTAAGGTATTCGTAGGAGCAGGGTCGTGTCCTGGGTCGGATCTACTGGATTTGGTGTTTTTGGGTTTGGGGTTATAAAAATGGTGATTATAGTAGTGTTGTTCGATCAGGTCATATCAGCCATGTGCTTATATTGACGCAAAAAAGCACGAGCCAAATCCTTCCAAGAGCGGATTTGAGTACGACTCAATTGATTATACCACTTAGAAGTGGGTCCAGTCAAACTATCCTGAAAGCAATTGATCAACATCTGATCATTGTTGGTGTATCCAGTCATCATTCGAATAAACATCGTGAGATGGCCATTAGGGCAACTGGTTCCATTGTACTTTTCAAATTCGAGCATCTTGAATTTGGGTGGGAGCACCAAGTCAGGAACTAAGACAAGTTATGTTGCATCCATTTCATTGTGAAAGCTTTGTCCTCTCATTCCCTTGAATGTTTCTCTACACCACTTTTTCAAATTCTCCAGAATCTCATTCTTGGCTTTTTCCATTTTATCAGGATTTGACATGTTGTGATCAGTAGGATTATACTGAGGATCTAACACGGTTGCTTGAGTTTTTGTGGTGGATAAGCCTACTTGGTGGCTTGGAAGCCTATCGGGCGAAATGAGTCTTTGTGGAATAGCATGGGCCATCACACATTCAAAGGTTTCTCTGGTCGAGGAAATTTTCTCTTTGCCTCTTTCTTGATTGAACTCAGTAAGTTTTGCTACAATTTGGTCGATTAGGTTGTCCTGGTTTTGTAAGATATGATCCACGGTGACCTTTTGCGCTTACTCTATTTTAGCTTCCCAATCCATTTGCATCATTCGCAAATTCTCTTTCGGTTCTTTCTTGCTTCCATTCTTCGTACTGTGTGAATGAAGTTGCACATTTAGAAACACTTCCTCAGAGTCCTCCCAAGATAAACCCATGTATTCATGATTAATGCATGTAGAAATGCCTAAATGAATGTTATGCAGAATGCAAATATGCAAATACAGATGCAAAAAGTGTTGATCCCAATGATGAAATCATAAAAATAATTTTCACTAGAGATAAATGCCTTCACATTATAAGATAGTCCATTTTACAAACATGTTTTCACTTAGATGTTGAGTCTGAAGTGGATCACTGCTTCGTCTCGGATCTTTTTCCTTGAAAATAATGTCCCTCAAGCATTTTGTAACCTAACTCCGTTAATGCTCCGTTGGTGCTGAAGTCAGTGCGTCGCTCCTTGATGACTAACGATAAAATGATCGTGAATAAGGCTCTACTGCTAGATTACTCCTCTGATTAGTGGATCATTATTTCAATCTCAAATGTTTTACAATCTTCGAGCAAGTCTCATTCTTGGACTCTCTGAACTTCTTTTAGCCTTCGATGCATGTCTGTGTACGTGACTGCTTGATTGAAAACTTTTACCTTTTCTTGTGAGAATTTTCTCTTGAATATCCCCTTGCAGATCAACACTTTCTCATTATGTTATTTTGATGAAATGCAATGCAAAATGATGAAAAATGACACAAACAAAAGAAAATAAATAAGTTACTCTGGGAAATATAATAAATATAATTAAAAGATGCTATATAAAAATAAATACAACACCTACCCGATCATGTTATCTACCCAAGCATGCTTTAATCAGATAATAATCCTACCCAAATGATTTATTTCAAGAAAATGATCCTAACCGCATGATATCTTGTTCTCATGCATTTATTCGAAAAGAATAAATATATTCTAGGAACTTAAAGTAAAAGGTAAAGGTTTAGAGTCGTTCCTCCTTCGTGTACACCTATTTTGGCACAAACTGACGGATAGAGGTTCGGTATGACTATACTTAGGGTGACCTTTCTATAGTTCACTATATGCATAGTTTTGGCACTATGAGGAAAGGGTAATCAAATCGTCCTTGATGTCGACCTCTTGGGCTGTCAAACGCTCAATCCTAACCCATTACAGGCGTAAATGGATCGAGTTCAATTCAAGGGGATTCACTTTCTTATACCAATACGAGGAATAAATTCCTACGAGGATATAAGACATGTGTATCCCAGAGGTTATTTGCTAAAACTCATACGAAAAATAAATTCTTACGAGAGTAAAGCATTCACATCGACTTACTTGGAACGAAGCCGGGTCTAGAGCTTATGTCATGCAAATGCACGTGATGTGTGTGAGGAAGAACGTACAAACCTTTTACTCAAAAGTAAAAAAATAAAACTCTCAATAGAAACTTGAACACTGCTGAAAACAAATATTAAGATATTAGTATCACGATTAAAAATGAAGAAATGAAAAACTTTAATAGATAGATCATAAGCTAACTATAGACGTAAACCCATAATTTCCACTACAACGACAATATGTAAGCGGCTTACAACCTGACTCTCTAAAAAAAGTCCCCACCAGAGTTACCATGTTATCAAAACCGTTTTTTTAAAACATTATGACTTTTTATTTGAAAAATTGGTGATTTTTAATTGATTTGAATTAAATTGAATAGGAGTCGACATCGACCTTTTGGTTAGGTAGGTCGAATACCTAAAAACGTCTTTTAAAATAATTTCAAGAGAAATCATTTTTAAGACAAAAATTGGTCTGCGTTTACCAAAGATCGATTTAATAGGTCCAGGGGTCGATTACGTGTGTGGAAGGGTAAGCACCCCCGCAACGCCCAAAATTGGTACTTAATCATTTACACGTTGTCGTAAATGGTGGAAATTGTGAATCAAATATATAGTTAGAATGTGATCCATTTATTAAATTTTAATTAATTTGCTCCAAATCGATTGGTTAGAGAAAATTCTTTACCTTGAAAAGAAATCTCGAGATTAGCAATCCTCCATCGGGAAAACTATCTCGCCTATTTCTTATCTGTAAAGAAGATTCCCTCATCGATAAAAAAATGTGTATCGAATATAAACTAAAAATCGAAATTTGCATAAAATAACATAAATTGCCATTTAAAGAAAAATGCATTGCATTATTTGATAAAAAATTTAATTTAATTGTAAAATAAACTAGATTTATTTCAAGTTCCCATTTCAATAAAATGTCGTGTCGGATCGCATCACTTCAACCAAGTGATGCTTTCCACACTCATTCTACAAATAAAGGTTCTTGAAAATATTCGAATAACATATCGATAGATAATGAAAAACGCTGAAAACAAATACAATTTGAAATCTACAAAATAAAATATTCGCAACACACAGAGCTAATAACATCCATTTAAAATAATACATAGAGCTGTAATATATGAAATATACATATACATGAAGGACTAGAATAAAATAAAATAAAAATTACAGCTCTAAACATAACCGACATAAATAATCACATTTGATGATTTTAAGGGACCAAAATAGTATTAACATAAATCTGAAAGGGCTGAACAATAAATATAAACAAATCAGAACCAAGAACAAAAATATTAAACAATACATATTCTCGAAATGAAAATAACCCATAAATAATATTAATGACTGAAATGAAAATAAACCATAAACATAAAAGGTCGAACAATAATTAAACCAAATGTAAAACAGTGACTAAAATAGAAGATTTGCAAATATCATGACCAAAATCAAACATTAACAAGAATAACATAATATGTAAGAACATGACTAAAACATAAATTTTGAAATATAAGTGCTCGAAACCAAATAAAGTAAAACTTCATTAAATGGCTGAAATATGAAATTACAAAGTCAGAGGGACCCAAAGTGGGATTTACCCACGCACAAAAAACTATCAACTGGTCCCCATCAAAACTACGTCGTTTCGTGGGGATATATAAGCCTGAAATCAGGCTTTCCTTTCTCATTTCCCTCATTTTCTTTACTTCATAAAACAGAGAGAGAGAGTCTTCAAAACTCTCTCAACTCTCTCATCGGGGAAGAGAGATGCCGTCGGCGGCGAAGGTGCTCACGGTGGCTGGAGAGAGACAACTACCCCCGAAAGACGCCTCTCCTCACCCTTAACCCGTATCCTAACTCCCCGTAACACAAAACTCCTCTAAACCCCTAGATCTAAGTTTTACCTTTCGAAAACGTAGAGATCCGACGACCCTTGGACTTGCTTTGAACTGAGGTATGCTTCTCTCTTTCTCTCTTTTTAATTTGGTTTTTTTCGTTCGAATAGGTTGATTTTCTCTCTGGTTTATTCCTTTTTTATAATCGAATACGATCTCCTCCTTTTTTTCTTCGAACGCTCTCTCTCTCCCCCATGTCCCCCTTGTGTGTTGCTTCCCCTATGTTTTTATTTGTTGGTCTGTGATGGCTTTTGATGACTTGTGCGGTGGATTGATAGCCCTTGATTTTCCTCGGGATATCCCTTTTGTTCAAATATATTTTTTATGTGATTTTCTTCTCTGATTGCTTTTCTTTCTTTGATTGATTTGTGACATCGGGCAGAAATGGCGACGTCAGAGGCGATTGGCGACAATAGCAACAACAATAGATACCCTTGGGTGATCTGGACCATTGGATGGGTCCAGATCCAATGGCTGAGATCAAGGCGGCTGGAGCTGATAGTGTTTTACTAGTTGCACATCATGCAGATGACCAGGTTTTTATCAACATTATTGTTCTTCAAGCTGTTTGCACATCTGTGACTCGAAGATTGAAAAAAGTTATATTAAGCCTTAGATATTTGTTCTTTAAGTACAAAAACGCTCCATTTTAATTTGATTTACGGAAAAGTAAGGATTAATTGTTTTTCGTGAAGTTTCCTGCTGAATCGATTGAAATACGAACATGGAAGCAGCAACTAAATGTAGTCTTCTTCTTCCACAATGCAGGCTGAGTTATTTATTCTTAGATCATCTCGTGATAGTGGGGTCCTTGGCCGGCATGACATTCACATCCCAATTGTTCTCATCACATACAAGTTTTTTTAATAAAGATTGGATAAATCACAGCATCCTTCTAGTGCGACCTTTACTTGAATTTTCAAAAGAAGACATGTATAAGGTTCGTGTGAAGAATATAGCAAAAAATGTGATTGATTCATGCCTCTACCCAATTTTCAGTTATTTAATTACTGTTTTAATTTTTTAATTTAATAGTATTCTTATAAGCTTTAAATGGGTCCTTGTTTTCATTTTGATAGATATGTCAAGGGAGTAACCGGGATTGGGTTGAAGATCCAACAAATCGAAGTCCTTTATTTGCTCGGAATAGGATTCAGATGTCATTAGAAAATCTGTTATCAGGTGAGTACTGATAGATTGGACAGTTTTGGTCGTTTTGATGCTGTTATCATTCGCAAATCACAACAGTCTTGTAGCTTCAACTTTTTAACTTACTGTTATATACAATGGTTTCCCTCATTGATCTTGCTGCTATGTTACCAAAGCTTGAGGTTATATATGATCCGCATCGTCAAAGCCTTTGTATTAATACAATACATTTGCACTCTTCCTGGAGAGCAATAATACTTTGGACTTTATAATTTGGAATTAATGGCTCTGTTTTCTAGGTACCTATAAGTCTGAACTACAAGCTGTTATTTCTGCCTGTCGAAAAACACGCATCTTTGTTGATCAAATCTGTAGCAATTTAATAAAGCAGACTGATACTGTAATGGATGTAAGCATTCTTTGATGTTTAGAAGATGGTTTTTGTTCTTACTTTAATCTAGCTTTAGTATAAACTGCAAGCTAATTCATTTTTATGATCATTTTTGCAGCCAGGTTATGCACTTATGGATTTGAAGGCATTTGATCCATCAAAAATTGATGACATATGCCTCTCTAAATTTGTTACATTGGTTTTGCAGGTACTGCTTTTGCAATACATCCGTACCATCCCATGCAAGGTAAATTACTTAAACCGAACTTGTAGCTTGCAATTATTTAGCTTTTCTTTGTTGCAAGTCCAAATTTCTTTATCGTTACTTTGGACAATTTTTATACAGCTGCTGGTTGCTACATTGTCCGGCTCCTGGGTCTAACGGTGCCAAAGCTCTGGTCTGCTGCTCTGTCAATTGTCCTCTTCCTTCAAATGCTGAACTATTTCACTCATTTTCTGTTGAAGAAGAGAAGCATTGTTTTTCAAACGAGTTGGAACAAGTTATTGCAAAGGGAAAATCATATTCTAATAAGCTGGTCCCTGATGCATCACAAGCACATTTTTCGGACGCGGGGTGTGAATTTGTTCTAGATGAAGCCTTGAGATTAGTTATTATCAGTGAATCAACTTATAGAAACATCATTTTATTTCAAAGGGAGGAAGTCAAACACTTTAAGCCCAAAACTGATGATGAAGTTGCATCTAGGTGTGAGTTGAAACAGGAGACTGAACATGTTAATTCATTTCTTAGTGAACCGTTCTTCCCTGGGCAAAAATGCTACTTCATGAACCGTTTCATCATCTCATGGAAACTAAGCCATGAAATTGGTAGCGATGTGTTTCCTCATGAATCTTATTCTCTGCCATATTTGCAAGGGGAAAGTCAGCACCAGGGTTTCAAATCGCGGTCGCATTTTCGGTTATTTTGGATTTACCGTGATTGCGGCCGTCGCGGGCGTTATTGAGGTCGTCGCGGACGCTATTGCGGCCGTCGCGGGTAACTCGGACAGCGGAAAAACCGCTATATCATGGCCGAAATAGAAGTCGCGGACCGTTTTTTAAAACCCTGGTCAGCACAGTCATTGCTATTGCTTAAACAGGGATGACATGGTAGTCAAGGTGCGTACCATGGTTGATGCTGATTGGCTCTACCGAGCCAAGTTGTCAAAACGGCCACATTTAGATAATTTTGAATCGACAAGACTTCCATTAACGGATAACATGCTCAGATTATTCAAGGTTGTCAGCAAACTTGGCTCTTAAATCACTGAAATCAACCCCATTTGCTGCAAGAAAAAGCATCCCTGTACTGATCAATGACCACGGACGGATACTAAGTATCCCTGTAGGCTCTTAAATCACTGAAATCAACCCCATTTGCTGCAAGAAAAAGCATCCCTGTACTGATCAATGACCACGGACGGATACTAAGTATCCCTGTATGTTGAACTCTTCCTTTTCTTTTAGATGGGTGGGGTGTTTATGAGAATCTTTCTTATTCCTAGCAATTCTTTCTTATTTATATTATTTCGGAGCATTGGCTTTAAACAATGCCCTTTCATGATGGCATCGGCTGTATTCAAGCCAAGGGTACCTCTTGGAGGAGGACACAGTTCCTTTCTTTAGTCATGGTAATTTAAAGCTCACCAGGTTTGTAAATTTCTATATGCTTGCGACTCTTGGAGGACTGCTTTTTCTTTTCAGTACCAAGCGAAACTAAACAAACAATTTATCATATGAATTTTGATGCGACTGTACATATATGTAATTGGTTAGTGTCTACAAGTTTTGGTTGAATGATTGTAGAAACTTTAACATCTAAAGCGCTGGTTGACATTTTAGGGGTTTCATTTAATTCTTTCTGCCGGGACAAGGCTATTGGGTGGCACACTTGATAATGAGTTCAGAGAAATCAATGGAAACACAAAAATGGGGCAGAAATATCACCATCTGCGTTGGCCTCCCCCGAGCCGTTGTTTCCATGGAGCATCATCCTGTTGTTGGATCCATGACCAAAGGGCACACTCTAGCAAGCAGAAGATGTTAACATAATGAAGTTGATATCTCACAGGAACGTATCGGAAATTTGCAGTCTGAACAACCGGCCATATACTGCCCTCCAAGATCAAGGCTGGGAGAAAATCTCTCTTCACTTGAGGAACGCTTTTACCTGTGGAGAGCCCCATATAAGAGAAAATAACAGCAAGTCAAAGGGGGTAAAGATAACACTATCGATAGCTACTTTTCCAGCGTCAAACTTAGTCGTCTTTGGTAGTAGTTGAATCTTCGTCTTTATAAATCTTTCCAACCCTTCATACCTAAATGGAGCAGAACAGAGGTTGTAAGCAATGCAATATAAATTTGAACGTGGTCTAATTGAGAAAGTGGCCTATAAGAAGACAAGTGAAAAGCAACACGAACCAGTAGTGTCCAAATGGTTCAACAAAGCCGATTCCAAACATACTAGTGACAGCTACCCTTTTCCAATCGATTTTACTTCCTAACTCTGCATTCTACCAATTGAAACATTACGGATACAATTCACGTTACCACTTAAAAATGGAACCTTTAAATTCTTTCTTGAACATTACCATTTACCAACCATAAACATTCAATCAAATCAATAAGGAACATGTAGAACAAAAGAAAATGATATTCAGTGGAAATGATCCCAAACCAAAACCATCTTTGAGGATTGCAAGAATCAACAGAGGACAACATAAATATAACAAAAACCCAGATTTTCAATAGCTTAGATAAGAGGAAAACAAGTTGAAAAAAATGTGAGAATAGATAAGGAGGGGGTTGCAGGGAATTGGAAATTAAAAGGTGCTTACTTTAAATTTAAGGCGTCGTTTCTTTGCGGTAGCCGAGGTGATGTATTGAGCCCTAACATGACCAATTCCCCTATAGGAAACCTGAGCTGATGGCCTTTGTTTTCAATGGATGAAGAGATAAGTAGCTCTCGTACCATTTCCATATCCTCAACATTTTATGTTAGCAGAAATTAAAAAGGATAACGAGATAAAAGAAGGGTAGAAATAGAGGAAAGTGATAGATAGAAGATAAGAAAAAAAGAAAAATCAAAACATGAAGAAAATTGTCTGGTTTCATTCATCGCCATCCTCACATTTAACGATAATAATATTATGTTGAGCGAGAATATTTAAATAAAACATTGTCTAAAGATTTTTCATTAGTATTATTAGATAATTGAAATATAGAATGTGCGTTTAACTTTTTCAATCAACATAATAAAATACTGATTTACCTTCAACCTTTGCATTGATGTTAGAGGACCGTTTGAGAATATATATAGAAGTGATTTTAGTCTAAAAATCTATTTGAAATATAAAAATAATCATAAACATCTCGTTTCAAACTAAACTTGATCGTATGAGATTATTATAATAACATTTAATGTTTAATGATTTTAATTTTAAAAAATTAAATTTGAGTGTGGTTGAAAATAATTATCTTTTATTATAAACGAATTATGAATCTTTTCCTTTCAACCAAAATAAACGAAAAAAGAAATTACTCTTAGATTTCAGTCCTCAACAAAAAATTTTCTCACTTCTTGAGTAGAGATGGTGATATCTCTACACTCTTGCCTTCATTGCTTTCTTCTCAAAATACTAATCCCAACTCAACCCAATTTCCAAACCATCAAAAGCTATAATTCACCCCCATTCCAACTTCAAATCCCTCAAAATCCTAATTGCACAGTCCTCAATCTTCACCAAACTTCAAAAGCCCACCTTTCAATCCATCCACATTCCACATTTCCCGCTAAAATTCCAAACCTTTTGGTGTTCAAGATAGAAAATGCGACAACTTTAGGTCCAAGGAATCAATTTCAAGTACTTAAGCGATATGGGGTTAAAGAATCCGAGGACACCGAAAAAGTGGTGGACTCTGATGGAGGCGGAGGCGGCGGCGGAGATGGAGACGATGGAGAGGTAGAGATGAAAAGTGGGTCAGTGCCAGAATGGTTGAATGTCACTCCTGATGATGCAAAAACGGTTATTGCTGCTGTGGTAATATCGCTTGCTTTCGAGCATTCGTGGCTGAGCTGAGTGTGGTTGAAAATAATTATCTTTTATTATAAACGAATTATGAATCTTTTCTTTTCAACCAAAATAAACGAAAAAAGAAATTATACTCTTAGATTTCAGTCCTCAACAAAAATTTTCTCACCTTCTTTGAGTAGAGATGGTGATATCTCTACACTCTTTGCCTTCATTGCTTTCTTCTCAAAATACTAATCCCAACTCAACCCAATTTTCCAAACCCATCAAAAGCTATAATTTCACCCCCATTCCCAACTTCAAATCCCTCAAAATCCCTAATTGCACAGTCCTCAATCTTCACCAAACTTCAAAATCCCACCTTTCAATCCATCCCCATTCCACATTTCCCGCTAAAATTCCAAACCTTTTGGTGTTCAAGATAGAAAATGCGACAACTTTAGGTCCAAGGAATCAATTTCAAGTACTTAAGCGATATGGGGTTAAAGAATCCGAGGACACCGAAAAAGTGGTGGACTCTGATGGAGGCGGAGGCGGCGGCGGAGATGGAGACGATGGAGAGGTAGAGATGAAAAGTGGGTCAGTGCCAGAATGGTTGAATGTCACTCCTGATGATGCAAAAACGGTTATTGCTGCTGTGGTAATATCGCTTGCTTTCCGAGCATTCGTGGCTGAGCCGAGGTACATTCCTTCGCTGTCGATGTATCCTACCTTTGATGTTGGGGATCGAATTGTTGCTGAGAAGGTAGTTATTGTTTGTTTGATAGTTAATTGGCACAAAGGTTTCTAGCGGAAAAATTGATTCCATGCTATTGATTGTTTGATGGTTGGGTTTATTTTTATGTTTTATTGAGGATAAGGAATGGCGTTTTAATTCGTAAAGTTTTATGGTAAAAACTTCATATTTGGTAAATAGTTTGAAACATCAATGTTAAGGTGTACATGCATATATTATTTAGTAAGTAGAATGTGTGCTTTGGGAGATCAAGTGATTTAAGAAAAAAAATCTTGTAGTTTTTGGTTTAGATTGTTGTAAGAACATGCTGGTATGCTTTTCGTTTGATGATTGTTCCTAGTAATGCTGAAATCTGAAAGTGAATACTGAAATGATCTCTTGAGCCTAAAAGACTAAATAGAAATACTATGATATGTTAGTCAGTTTTAGCCTTATAAACTGTGGCTGGAAGGATGCGTTTGCACAGGATTTACCAAGAATCGTTCCCTGATTAAAGAAGGATGTGATATGAACATAAAATCTTATTTTGTTTTAGACATGCATCAAATAAACGTGTTGTTTAATTATTATGTATGTATGACATTTTAAAATTGAAATTGTCAGGTTTCGTACCACTTTAGGAAACCATGTGCTAACGATATTGTCATATTCAAAAGCCCGCCAGTTCTTCAGGAAGTAGGATACACTGATGAAGATGTCTTCATTAAACGGATAGTAGCTAAGGAAGGTGATACTGTGGAGGTAGGGATATTCTGATGATTTCCGAGTATTCATATTTCACCTTATGACAAGCTGGTTGTATATGTTTCTCACTGTATTGAGAAAATTATTACTACGTGTTCAAGTTGCATGATGTGATGTTGAATCATTAAAGCCAACAGAGATGTTGAGTAAATGGATATTTTTGCAAATTATCTAAGTCGTTTCTGTTGACCTCCCACTTACTATGCACACATGTCTTATTTTCTTTCATAGTTACATGTAAGGTGCCACTCCCTATGTTGCTCTAACCCTTCAGTTAATATTGAAGTACCCGTGTCATGCATATTTGGACATGGGTGTGGAAATCCGATCCTCGAAGAACCCTCCAAATACATGAAAATCTTGAACATACTTGCGTTTGACACTCACACCCGGGTCTGAGTAATATAGGCCATTCTTTCACAATTCCCCTATGTTTTATTTTTCTTGGCTTTGATGTGTTACCATCTCTTTGATTTCATTAGAATGAAATATTAAACTTTGTTCTGATGCAGGTTCATAATGGAAAGCTAATTGTTAATGGGGTTGTACGAAATGAAGAGTTCGTCTACGAAGCACCTTCCTATGAAATGACACCAATTGTACGTATCCATAACTAAAGGCGAAAATAGTTCACAAGTTGTGCAAACTTATAGTTTTGCTTATTTGTAAATTTGTGTCATCTGTTCCTGATTGTGTACTTGCTATTCATGCTGCAGCAAGTACCTGAAAATTCTGTCTTTGTGATGGGTGACAATCGTAATAATAGCTATGATTCTCACGTTTGGTAAGATATTATGCTCATATAGGTTGACATATGTGCATCCTTGATACTTCAAATCCCCCCTATGCCATTGTTAATTTATTTGTGTTTGTTTCATTTAGGGGTCCCCTCCCAGCCAAGAACATCATAGGAAGATCAGTATTTCGGTATTGGCCCCCAAAAAGGATAGGTGGCACAGTACTTGAGCGTGGCTGTGCTATTGACAAGCAGCAGGAGAGTGTCAAAGCATCTGAATAGATGTATTCAGCTGTGCTATTGACAAGCAGCAGGAGAGTGTCAAAGCATCTGAATAGATGTATTCAGCCTTACTGATTTTATGATTTTTATTTCATATATATGAACCAACCAAAACTTGTATTAGTTATCTCAGAAATCATTTATGTAGTTCATCCACACGTATACAAGCATACATGGAGACATGCAAGCTTCTTAATGACTCAAAAATATCCTACCAATAAGATATTACCTACATCAAGACGATAAACTTCATATTTCAATCCAAACTGATCTGCACTGTTTTCTTAGCAATTATTATTTCCAGACTTACCTATCACTAGCAGTTTTAAAATGACTTAAAACACCCAAAACCCATCATTTCCTCCGGTCTTTGGCTCATTCCTATTGACATGGACTGTTTTTAAGCTTCAGAGGCTTGCCACCGAGGGAGCCGATAACCAAAGAACAAGCGATACTTTTCCGATGCCTTGACTTTGCTAGCTTTCCGACTACATTCCCTCTGGACCAAACTTCAAAGATCAACTTCATTGGAACTCCACCTCCATCATTTGAGACGGCTAAGCTTGCCTCTGCCCTTGTTCTTCAATAACGTTACACTGGGTCCAACCCTTTTTGTTCCTCTTCCTTCCTTTCTTTAAAGTTCCTGAGAAACGTCTAGCGGACGAGGCCCTTGAGTGACGGCTGTAAGAAGGGTGAGAAGGAGATTCCATAGGGGTGATGTAAGTAAGCAGGCGTTGCCTGCATGGATGATTTGTCGCCATCGTGGGAATCCCTGGAAGGGCTTTGGTCATAGTAAAATTGGCGCTTGGGAGACGACGGAGCTTGTTACATCGGAAATCGGACTTAGTATGCATCATCATCTTTTAAATTTAATTGTTTTTGAAAGACGATGAGTTGTGAAGTTACATTGAAGAAGAGAAGGACAAGAGAGTGATGAAATGTACCAAGTATTACCAAGGTTAGGTTCGGAGTTGGGGTATGGGATTTGTGAAGGTGGAACGATGTTGCCCAGTGATTCCGTTAATCTGTTCGTTGGGTGTGGACTAACGTTAGCGCCTTGTGTTGATGGACCATGCATCTTGACTGGAGTCTGGAGTTACCACGTTTTTAAATTTAACGTTAAAGTAGCAGGGTTTCATAAATGAGTTTTATATTACATTTAAGAGCTTGAATTTACTCCATTAAAAAAAGAACTTGAACTTGGGCTTTCAAAAAAAAACTTTGAATTTAGATTCTAAAACCAAAGTAAATCATTTAATAACAATGTATACATATAATTTTTAATAGTCTAGGCTAATTATAAGGTAATATATATTCAAAATTTTCTTAACCATTTAAAAATGTTCATAACTTGTAAACGCAAATGCTCGAACCAAGACCTTTGATACTTATTAAATGATGAAAAAAAAATCCACATTTAATAATAAATATTTGACCTTAGGTCATGAGTTTTAGATCCTCTAGGAAGACTCCCCTTCCTTTTTCTAGAATATCTCCTTCCTGTTCCTTCAAAACAGAATTAAATTTAAAATTTGTCAAAAAAAAAAAAAAAATTAATGTGTCATGTTGGATCCGTTTCTGAAATATAAGTCTTAAGCTTTGCGTTTATCTAATAATGATAATAAAATGGAGAATATGAAAGAAATAAAGGAGAGAAAATATTTAAAAACATATTTTAAACTAACTTGTATATCTCAATTCTAATATTCTCTCCTCTTATCATGATTTGATTTTATATAAAAAATAAAATATCATACTAAAAGCATAAATAACTTATCAGATTAAGATGAAATAGGATATTGAACGTTTGCATCCAAATCCTACTCATAAGTTAAACCATCCTAATTTTCTTTTGTTCAATCATATTTTTCAAGCATCTTTATTTAAATTCTCTCAAATTTCTAACAGACTACTGCTCGAATATGTCTAACCCTAACTCATGTTTAGGTAAAATACTTTCTGAAGTTTGAAATACCCATAATTGTTATATAATTTGTAAATTTCTTTCAACACAGCAAGCTGGAACCAAACCAGAAATTTTAAATTGAGAAGTAAAGAAAAAAAGTAAAGCTATAAATTTTAAATAAATCGGAATAAAATTTGAATAAAAATACTAAAAATATAAGACCAAGATAGACTACCTACCTCGCTGGCACCTGCCCCGTAATTTTAACCCAACGATATTTTAAAGCAAACAGTGTGACATTTACCATTGTAGATAAGCAACCTTGCATATGCCACACAAACTAAAGATTTTTTTAACCACAGCTTGAATGAATCAATAGAGTAGGCATTAAGTTCATACACAATTCGTAATCTCATTCTGAATTCTGCATTACCAAGACATTGATTACGTGGGGCGCTCAGATGACTTCAATCTCAAACTAGGGGGAAAAAACCAATAAATAAAGGACTTTACAAATATCACCTTAAATCCCAGCTTATGTCAGACCTACTTCTTTCCAGAGGCAACCGTGAATCTAATGTTGTTAGGATCTGTGGCATTGACATTCCCACTGACAACGATTTCTGCAATAGAAGAATGAGTGG